AAAATTTTGACATTAATATACAAAAAACACCAAATTTTATGAAAAAAATATTTAAATTTAATATAATGTACAGTAAGTTAATGTTTATTTTAAGTTCTATGAAAGCCAAATGCAAAGAAAAAGAGATCGAATTGATATAAATATAACAATTATCTCTCACTTGAAAATATATAAAGATTTAAGCACTAATAAATTGTTTTATATTTGTTTTTTGATATTATATTTAAGTAAACAAATACTAAAACTCATAAATAAATAAAATGTCAAAGGCAATTAAAAACAACACGAGAAGTAAAAATCCAGAGAGCATATATTTTATTATCCGATATTATTTTTAATTATGTTTACACAAAGAATAGACAAGGACTCGAGAATTTTGAAGGTAAGCCTAAAATTTTAGGCTAAGTACAGTATATATTAGAAAGTCAGGGCATAAATGTCAATGTCTGAGTCAAACATCCACTTCAACCTTTGAAAAGAAATAGTACTAACATAGAGGATTGAATCTCTCTTAGTTGATTACAAAACGTGATTTTTGCGAAGGAGTATCAAGGACAATGGTTAAGATATTCGTTAATTTTAATATGTTTATACTTGAACTCGGTTATAAAATTTAATATTCTTATTTTATTTAAATTTAATTAATAATATTTTATTAAATTTTAGTTGAGATCCGAATTCATCTATTTTGTTAAAAGTAATATGAGCATTTGTTATAAAACCTAACCCAACTAATCCAAATTAAACTAACAATGGCATTTTTTTGGGCTGTCGAGGCTTAATAAACTCATTTTTCAAAAAATAATAATAATTTGAATTAAAAAATGAAAAATAAAATTTAATAATTTTTGTGTATTTTATTAGTCAAAATTAAATTATTAGATTCCAAAATATATATAGACAATTTATTAATTAAAATAAATAATTCATCAATTATAAGAAATACATACGTTAAAAATAATATAAAAAATAAACTAAATATTACAAAATTATTTATTTTTTATTATTTATAATCGAGTTCAAATAATGGATATCTTAAAATTATTATCTATACCTAAACTCATTAATAGGGTACGTTAATCCTATTTAAAAGAGTCCGATAGAGTAAGATACCTATTAACATACTACCCATTGTCATCCATACTTGTACAATCAAATTTTTGGCCATGCAGCTTCATGCTTCCAAGCCTCTTAAGAATAAATCATATATATGGGATTAATTAGAATAATTAAATTTCCACTTCCGAAATTACAAGCTTATTGCAATAATGTTTTGAGCCATAGCTCTTTCAGGCAGAATCAAGACATTGAAACAACAAGCTACCTGCCTTCTTTGTCATTGAAACAACAATGTAAAACAACTAATCATACGGTTCCTACTGATAGTATTTGCAATGTTTTTGCTCGCTCTGGAACTTGTTGGGCACAAAATCCTTGTTACTAATCACCCTGGGATGGGTCCCATTCGGCAAGCAAAAAACCAGCCCGCATGGCCCCGTTGCTATGGATTGGAAGTTGGGACGTGGCTGTACTGATCTCTTCCATCCGAGATTTCAAGCCTCGGGAGTTTAATTACTAGCCAATGACTATCCGAAAGCTAGCCATGGTGTCTCCCAATGGTTAATTACGCAATTTTTCAG